TTCCTGCAATATTTTCAAGACTTTCTTTTGCTTTCTTCTTGGATGACAATGAGAATAATAAATCATTATACAACCAAGGCCTTAATACTCTTAAACCGAAATTCAATAAAACTACATAATTTCAAATGATGATATAATTCCAATAATGTTATTTTGTAAAAGCTTAATTAAAACCATCATGAAATTAGTTTAATGTTTAATAACCATAGATTGTAAGATATATAAAAATTTAAATCTATATATGTTACAAAAAAGTAGAATTTGTACTAAAAACTTTTTTAATTTTATCAAGGCTATAAATTTTGATCAAAGAATAATTACTTTACACATTTTGAATACAATTTATTTATTTTTTTATTGTTCTGATAATTTCAACATTTTAAAAAATACAATAATTATGTAATAAATATTTAGTGATACATATACAATAGATCTTGATTAATAATTTGTGACTTGTAAACAAAGTGCCGTTTTCACTAAGTTCATTTACGTAATTATTCATTAATTAATTTATTTTTCAAAATGTATAATTTAATGTATCACAGTTAATAGATCATAGAAAGAGTTAGAAAATGAGATTTATAAGTTAAAAGATGTGGATTATAAGTTAAAATATCATACATTATATACCATATCTATGAATTACCTGTAAAGTATTAATTCGGTTATATCGTGAATGCATTTCGATACTTTCATTGCACTCGCCAAATTTTTGCAAAGAAACCGCCCATGCTAGTTTCTACAAATACATTTAATTAAAACAGTCGAAATTATTTACAGATGAATATTTTTGTAGATTGCTTTTTTTCAAAAATATTGAATATTATCTATTTTTTCTTGTTTTGATACTTTGTGTAGACATTATCTATATTTATTTGAAGCTATAATCACTTAGAATTAAAATTCCTGTATACATAATGCAAATAAAGAACCACTTACCGCATATCGCACTTAGCGTAATGTTACTAATAAATGGTAATAAATCTTTTACAACTGTCCTCCGACATCTTCAAAGATTTTTGTCATGTAATGCTCTCCTTGATTAAGGTATCAACAAACTTATTTAATATATTAATGGAATGCAGGTGTTAACATCTTTCGCCGCGCCCGCCACTTAATCGCTAAAACAGAAACAAGATAACACAAAATTGTGCTATAAAAGAGAAATTGCAAATATCGACGTAAATGTAATTATGTTATGTATGTTATGTATATATATTAAATGTTATTATTTTGTAATTAAATCTTTATGAATTGGCAGATAGAAATAAATTATTATAAATATATAATATATAAATATATAATATATAAGGTACATATAATATATATATATATATATATAATATATATATATATATATATATATTTATATTACATATAATATATAATATATAATATATAATATATAATATATAAATTAATAATAATTAAATCTATTACTGATAGTACAATCTATTCGTGGTGGTGTATTTGATTTAACTGAAAAAATATTTCTAAAATTACCAGATAAAAATAAATTACTATAAATATCTAATGTATAATAATAATATAAATATATAAATATATAAATATATAAATATATAAATTAATATTAATATTAATTAAATCTATTACTGATATTACAATCTATTAGTGATGGTGTTTGATTTAACTGGAATATCTCTCTTATCTATTTCTACCATTTATAACAATATATACGTGCATCACAGCGAAATTATCTCATCTGCAAATTTCTTTTTTATTAATTTTTGTAACACAGAAATATAAATTCGCTATTTAGGATAATATTCTATTAGTGTTTTTTGTCTTTAATGACAACAACTATAATATTTTTAATTTCAAGTTTATTTTTAATTCAGACTCGCATAGATGACACTTCATCAGAGCTTTTTTTTACTGTAGTGTAATACTAAAAGTAGTAGTTTTACTACTTTTAGTATTACACTACAGTAGTAGTAGTATAGTAAGTATTAGTACTTTTAGTAGTTGTTCTACACTTCCCGCGAAATCTCGCTTGTAAAAAGAAATCTAGTTTTGTAATCAGTCTAACTAATATAAATTTAATAAAACGAATCACAGCATAGTGACATCAATATCTCGCAGTTACCCTAGAGTTATATTGTGCACCGCTACGGATTAAAGATAAAACTAGATATGTAATATATTTAAAATAACAAATGTTATAAGAATAGGTGGCGCCGAATAATAAATATAAAACAAATACACAAAAAAGCAAGTAAGGCCACCGATATTAAAGGTTGACAAAAAAAGATTTAATTGTAAACGCGTGTTAAATTACAATCATGTTTAAAATTTCAAGATACAATAATTAGCGCAAACGTTTCAATCCTCTCCGGATCCTTTTCAATGCAATAAATAATAATATAAACTAATCCGTTGTATCACGCCCGTAAAAGTCATATCAAAATCGTCAATAACGTCTTTTTCAACCTTTAATATCGGTGGCCTTACTTGCTTTTTTTTGTATTTGTTTTATAATATATTTAAGTCTAATTGTAACATTTTATTTGATTTTTTGTGACGTGGCTTGTAAACGAAATGACGTTTCACAAATTGTAATAGAAAAGTATATATGTACTTATACATATATTAACATTATTATATTTATATTACCTGTACTAGTTACAAGACCTGTATTTAACCAAGGATGAACAACGTTATACAGAAAACTTTTCTCGATGTGCTTAGTACTGCTTAGTATCGTCTGAAATAATCGAAAACAGAAATATGTATTATTCAGTTATTATATCACTAAAATATCTTAGATATACTGATATATTAGATATACAAATAATTTATAAATTGTATCTCTGTATTTTATTCTAACCTCGATGGAGTATCAATTAGGATTTCATTTTTTTTAAGGAACACATTTTATCAGTAAAAATCTTTCTATAAATCGCAAAACTCTTCAATCTAATCCACTCGTAATGTGTATAGAGAATGAAATTTCTTGTATTACCTCTATATCGTCTGGATGACGGATACCCACTCCATATATAAAAAAAAACCCGAATTTAATAATGGGATAATATTCATCAGACAATTTACAGAAGAGCTTCCATAATTTCTCTGAAAATTATATTATAAACATTAATACACACAAATGTTTTGACTAATTTTATTTTCAACATTAATGTGCGCTTCTATCCAAATACGTTGAAAACAGATAAATAATAATAAAGAAAATGAATTGCAAATTGTTACTGCAAAGAGAAGTAATCTACATGTAATACACTTGATAAATATATGTTTCAAAATAAATGATTTATGAATTTTTGCTTGTGTACGTAACACAGATTTCGTTTGTCAATTAATGTAAATAGATTAGAAATTTTGTATTTACCTTCTGACACATAGCATTGGAGCGCATTGCCAATAATCGGAAAACCCGATGGTCTCGGTATAAGATTAAGAAGTTGTCGGTATTTTTTATGATACACATAATAATTATATACCAATAAAATAAACATAGAAAATACCAATATAGTAATGAACATTGTTTCTTAACCGTCCCGATGTTTCTTGACTATTTGACTACTTTTTTTTAAGCTTCTTCCGTTTGTTTTTTATTCTTCGTACATATATAAAATGTCATATATAAAATAAATATTTTTTAATATATACAAAAATAGATATTCGATTTTCGACAATATTTGTAATTATCTTGAGAAGTTAAATAAATAATATAATTATATAAACTATATAATTATTGTTTAAAAGCTTATTTATTTATTTTATTTGTTCTTTTTGTTTATTTAATTATGGCGTAACGATTTTGATATCTAATAACATCGTATTAAACATTTTCTCAAAGTTAATATAATGTGCATTTTAGAAGATAATAATATGAATATTGTAACATATTATATAATAATTTAATAAAATTATAACAATCAAATAAAATTAACAATATAATATTATAATATTTGAAAGAAATTTGTGTTAAAATCATATTTCGTTTAACATTAATTATGGTATTAAATTGGGATTTTGCAATAAAATGTTATAAACTTTTATTTTATACAAATTTTATAAAGATTACCAGATAGATTCTATGTGCAACGATCAATGGAAACACATAACTCAAATGATTAATTTTAAGATAGAATTATAAATCTTGTTAAACAGATGCACAAGTTTAACAAAGCTGCATAAACTGATAATAAACATCTGAAGCGTGTATTTATACTGTTCTTCCACTCAAGCGCATATTAATAATTAGAACTCTTAAGAACCAGGCAATTTAATAATTCATTAATCATTTCAATTAAAGACAAACGTTTATATCTAACGTTTTTATCTTTATCTGAGAACATAAAAAAATGATTATGAAAACCATTTTGAAATTAGATTTAATATTGCCAACATTGATTAGAAATAGCGATTGTTTCTATTTAAAATGTATCGTTTTCATAATCAAGATATCAATATCAATATTAACAAAATAAGGAAAACAATTTTATTTTTTTACAAATTTTTACATTATTCTTCCTAACACTTTCAATTAAATTTCTTAAATAGGCGTGCTTTAGATAATAAATCATTTAGAAATTTGTCATCTCGAATTATCTTTAGCAAAGTTAACGAACGACGCTAGTTGCTATTTTTGAATTTTATTTCAATTTCAATAATTGCTCTTATCGTTTTTTTAATCGCACATTATATTTCGAGAGAGATTTTATTTAAAAAAAACATGACAAAAGTGTGATAGGCATTTTGATGAGACCTAATATTGTAAAAGTCAATTTTTTTTAATGGGGTATTTCAATGTAAATGAATAATTTTTCAATATAAGAGGACAAATGAAGATATATACACATGTATAATATACACATATGTGTCTCTTAATCTATATATTTAAAATTAATCAGAATCGAAAAAAAATATTTGTGCCAGTCTTTTGTAAGTTTTTTTTAGAAAACTCATCTTTCTTTTTTCCTCTTTTTTTTTTTAATAAAATGTATTTTATTTATTAAAGCACATGAAAGTTTGATATAATATGAAAATAATATAGGACAATAATAAAATTTCGATTTATATAGCTTTTAATCAACAGAATGAAATTCTCGTTCCGTATCTCCATTTCAGTTAAAATAAGTCTCTATAATATTTATCTTACATTTGCAATAAAATAATATTATACATGGGATATAAACGAGAATCTCAAAGAAGTCCATCCAAAGATTCTAATTCGCTAAATACAAGTTTTACATTTAAATATTATTAATTTAATGACTCGATTATTTGCGTATAAATGTTAATCATTAAAAATGATTGACATTTAAAATGATTCATTAAAAATGATTAACATTTAAAGAGCAACATGATAAAAACAAAGTGCACGATCACGAAGGAGTTGAAAAAAATTGTTGCGCAAAAGAATATTGTTGAAGTGTTTTTTATTGCTTATGTTTCTTTTGTCTTATTTTTTAACAAAAAATAATGTTATTACTTTTGAAAATTGCTTTTATTAAGAATAAGGACAGATACAAGTACTATTACAGAATTGTATTCATTCGATTTAATATGTTTTTGAAATATTAAAGATGTTATACAAAGAAAGTATAAATCCGAAACTAATACAATATAAGAAACAGATATTATAAAGATGATAAAAGATTTAATTATCAGTAGAATATATCTATATATATATATATATATATATATATATATATATATATATATATATATACATATATCCCAGTGGACACCAAAAAACGGCGATAAGAAAGGCCTGATGTAGCATATAGGAATCTTAATTATTTGAATGCAACTTTTGCTCTTGCATTTACAAATAATTAATTTAATAAATATACTGAGAAAAAAATATAGTTGCCGTTATCATAATTTAACTATAAAGTATAGTTATTTTTGGCGGCAACTACATTTATATAGTTATTTTAACAGTGTGATTTATAGCAAATCCAATAATATATTATTGTTATTGTAAAATTAGTATATTTTCATGTAACTATATGTATGGCACACACATAACTGTCATTTTTACATAGTAAGTGATACTATAAATATGATGCTACTAAAATGAAAGTAAAAGGAACTATATACTATAATAATAAATCGTACTTACATTAATAGTAAAATATTATATTTTTTATATATAATTAAGTTAACAATGTATGTAGTTCTCATAACTTTATAGCTTATAAGATACGTTCAATTATGAAAAATGTATTATATGTTATTAAGAAGAATTTAATTATATAATATAATTAAATTAAGAAACAATAATGCTAGGAAGAGCGCTCTGATGCGCAGCACATGTGGCTCTCTGATGTACATGTAAGCAACGTCCTCTAGTATTACTGCTCATAAGAGAAAAAAAAATATACTTTAGACTTCGTCTAATTGTAAGTACCAGTCCTTTATACACATTTCATGAAAAATTGAATACCAGTTAGTCATCATTTATGATGTCGCCGCGTAGCGACAAACGAAGAAACACGTGTCACACATCTCTTTTCAATTTCAATGATATTTATAGTATAAATTTGCAGTTAAAAATATAGTTAAATGAACTATTAATATAATCACAGAAATGTTTATATATATGATTACTTTTTTACCTTTTATAGTTATATAGTTTATCTTTTACATAGTAAACATGTTGAAAAATAATAAATAGTGAAACAAATGTCAAGAATATGGTTACAATTATCATAATTGTGATTGTGTAGAAAAATGGTTATTTAATTTACCATATGTTACTTGATATTTTACTATATTAATATTTCACATTATCATAATTTATAGTAAAATTTTTACCTTGATTGACTGAACTACTCGTATAAAGTTATTTTTACTAACATTCTAGTAATAATAACTATAAAAATGATAGTTGCAACTATAATTATTTAATTATGCAATTATAGTTGTAAAACACTTTTCTCTCAGTGTGTGCAAACGTTACCGTTACAAACATATACAGGGTGTCCCAAAAGTCCCCGACCGGTCGAATATTTCATAAACTATACACTTTAGAGAGAAATGTTTCCGACAAAAGTTGTATGGCTTGAAGGGGGCCATCAGATAGTGGCAATGATTTGACCTTGGAGAGTCATTTAAAGGTGACGTAAAGGTCACCTTCAATTTCTTAAATGGAACTCCCTATGTTTTATTACATATTCGTGTAGCTTATCTCGAGAGCTTTCCAAAAGCACTATAATAAAGTATTTCTTCATTGAGTACTTTTCGAGTTATAAGGCTTGAAATCATTTCTTAATTTTGCATAAATCATAAAATATCTAGTAAAATGTTCATTTTTCGATTATCTTACCTTAATACTTTTATGTACAAAATAATGAGAAGTATCAATTGGTGTAAAGAAAACACATAGTTGTTTTTAAAAAAAATATGTTAATTGCAAATTACATATTTTTTTCTTAAAAACAACTATCTTTTTCTTTACGACAATTGATTCCTCTTATTATTTTGTACATAAAAGTATTAAGATAAGATAATCGAAAAATGAATATTTTACAAGATATTTTACGGTTTATGTAAAATTAAGAAATGATTTCAAGCCTCATAATTCGGAAAGTACTTAATGAAAACTAACTTAATTATAGTGTTTTGGAAAGCTCTCGACGTGAACTACTAAGAATATTTAATAAAAAATAAGGAGTTTTATTTAATTAAGAAATTGACGGTGATCTTCACGTGACTTTCAAATGACTCTCCCATGTCAAATCATTGCCACTGTCTGCTGGCCCCCTTCAAGCCATACAACTTTTGTCTGAAACATTTCTTTCTAAAGTGCATAGTTTATGAAATATTCGACCGGTTCGCGACTTTTGGGACATCCTGTATAGTACATACGTAAAGGTAATCGCGGTAGCGCCGGTTGATATTCCATTTCGTGCCGTTATGTAAACGTCCAAGTCAAAATCTCTCCTTTGTTCTGACGCTGATCGTCTCGCATTTGCAATTACACAAATCACCGCCGCGGAGTCGCGCGCCGGTGACTTTTGGAGCGGCTGTGAAATCCGACCGCAGACTTCGTCATTGGACAGAACATTTATTTATTATATATTTTACATCCGCAATTTATAAAATAATCTTACGTAATGTGAAATTTATATAATGGTTTCCGCAAATCTTATTAAAAGGGGACGACTTAAGGGGTATACGTTATTAAAAAAATATTTGTTCCACTGCTTATGAATGATGTATAGGGTGTAAATAGTGTTATGTCTTAATAGCATCTTCATTATTATTATTATTACTTTACTTATTCTACTTCATATAAATTCCAGGTAATTCAATTCCATTAATGGAGGAAAAGAAAAGTGCCACTAATAATAATCGATATGTCTATAATTATTTATACATACAGAGTGTCCCAGACTTAACGAATCAGCCGTTAATAGCAGATTCCTGAGATCATTTGGAGACAAAAATTCTAATACCAAAATGTTGAGAAAGACTTTATAAAAATGTTCAAATTACCGACTACTATCGTATCGAAGACACAATCGCGCTCACTGCAAAATCCTATTTTTTATTTTATATTGATCCTTCTATCGATATCGATATTATTGCGCTGTACGCGGGTTCTTTGCGTTATGTCCCTGAGCACAAAAGAACGTAATGCGTCGATTGGTAATCTTTAATCTCCTGTAGCGCCGAAACTACTTCTTCCTCAACATTTTTATATTAAGATTTTCGTTTCCAAATGACCTCAGATCTATCATTAACGGCTGATTCGTTAAGTCTAGGACACCCTGTATAAATGAAAGATACATTATATTTTGTTTATTAATGATTATTGATTTGTTTATTAATGATTGTTAGTAGGTATATAAGGCGGGTTCTAACTCAGGTCCTCTCAGGGGGGTGAGGCGCGCGGGGGATTACGGTGGCGCGGGGGAATGACGTCACGCGGGACGGAGGGATTTCGGCGGCGGCGCGTGTTAGATGTTTTATCGCAATATTGTATTACATGCCCGATTGATAAACAATATTGCGTACGAACATGTTCGGTTTATAAATAATATAAACAGCAGCATTTCTTCGAAATGCATCGCATGCGAGAGCAACGCGTGCGAGGGAGAGGGAGCGATGGCGCGAGAACAACGCGTGCGAGGGAGAGGGAGCGATGGCGCGAGAGCAACGCGTGCGACGAACGAGGCTTACAACTAGCGAGAGAGAGAGAGACTTACAACTAGCGCGAGACGAGACTTAAATTAACACATGGGAGATAACGATACTTATAACTAGCGCAGAGATGGGAACGCAAGGAGAGGCATGCGAAATAATTAGATTTTTTTTAAATTAAAATATATATAAAATTTATTTTAAAATGTGTGTATGTGTATATTATACATATTTATGTGTGTGTGAGTTAGTGTGTGTGTATGTGTATTTAAAATTAAAATTAAAATATAAAAATATAAAAATATAAAAATATCAAATGTAATGTTATAATAAAATATAATTATAAAAAATATATATAATTAATTGGGGAGGGGGGGAGTTGCGCCGGTTCAGGGGGAGGCGGCTCCTGTAACAAAAAAATATATAGTAAAAAAATATATATTATAATATATAGTAAAAAATATATAGTTATAATAAGATTTATAAAAAAATACTTACATCTGTGTTCCCCATTACACATGCCATTGGGTGACCGAATCTCCCCGGGTGCCCGAATCTCCCCGGGTGCCCGAATCTCCCCGGGCATCCAAATCTCCTCCTCCATGTATGGCTCTTCCCCGAAGAGTCGTCTTAGGTCGAAAATGTCATCGCCGTCCGGCGGACTCTCCGGAGCGTCACCCCACATGAAGGAGAGGTCCTGTCTCCTCCCCCGCCGCTCCGCCCGCACCCACTGCCGGTGGTGGATATTCATAAATCCCGGTATTTTAACATCATACAGGGACTAAAAATAAAAAATATAAGTATTATGCACAATAGATGTACAATTTTTTATAAATTATTCGCAAAATCAATACTTACATTCCAATCGAAGACCAGCTTCATCAGCAGGACACAGAGCAAGTCTCCAAAGGCCTGCTTCCATCCGGCGCAGTTTTCCAAGAGGTATTCCATTTTTTCTTTTTCTTTACGTACTCTTCTTAACTCGCGCACTCTCGGAGACTTTCTGATGCGACAACGAGGTCTCGGTCCGAGATCGTAGCAGAGACACCATATGCAGCCATCTCCAAAACGTATCGTAAAACAAAAGTATCGAGTCTACAAACAACTGCACTATAAAAACAGCAGTATTCTATTGAAAGACAACGCTTGAAAGACGACGCTTGAGAGAGAACGATGGCGCGAGGAAAACGCGTGCGAGGGAGATAGCGAAAGGAATGGGAACGCAAGGAAAGGCGTGTAAATAAATACATTTTTTTAAAGTAAAATATATATAAAATTTATTTTAAAATGTGTATATATTATACATATTTGTGTGTGTGTGTGTGTGTGTATTTAAAATTAAAATTAAAATATAAAATTTAATCCGTTATATTATAGAGTGCCCATAGCTCATCAAAATTTACATAACAATCGTTATTATGATTTCTACTTAGATCTCCATTCAGATTATTTTGTTCTCCATTCTGATCTCCATTCAGATTTTTCATCTCTCCTGAAACATTCTCCTACAAAAAAATCACCTAAAAAATAATTACTTGAATATTTTAAATTAATTTCGTAATTATATTAGCAAAAATTATCCGTTACCTGTACATTCTCTTCCTGTTGTTTTTTCTTTTTATATGCATACTTTTTGTATATAATTTCAGGCGGACATTTACATTTACGAGATTGACATTGTGTACAATACCGCGTTATATATAATAATTTATGATGATTACCAGCAATGCATTTTCTAAAATCATCATATTCAATCATCATATCATGATAAAAATAATTCCAGATTATTAAATCTATATACGTTTGGTTTATGCCCGTTGGGATACGTATATTTATACACGGCGTGTATGTACAGTCATTGATACACCTATCTACCCAACTGTAATCGACATTTAATTTAAACCGCGAAACATTATCGCGGTAGTTTATATCGCCAAGGTTGACTATATAGAGAGAGAATTTGATAATATATGAAACGTCACTACTTTATTGTTCAAGGTTACTGTGCGAATGATCGTAAGTCATAAAACGTCGTTGAAATATTCTATGAATGATTGTAGGTTAAGAAAATTTAAAGCATTGGTCGAAATTTATTCAATTTTAATAAGTATCGTTAGAGAAATTATTATAATAAGCGAATATATCAATAATCGAAAGATCATAATAAAATTAATTTCTTTATCCTCTTTTATGTTCCCTTTTTCAATTTTTATTCGCAGTAATTAATGATTGCGATTCGATAAAGATATATCGTTGCGATACATTTTCATGACCTTTACCATAAGTTAATTTATTTTTAATATATTTGTCATCGAAATATTTTACGTACTTTAACATATAGTATATATATATATATATAATAAGCAATATAGCTATTTTGAAAATAATACATATATAAATAATAATAATAAATAAATAATTTTTATAAGTTACTCACCACATATCTCTCTGACTGCTTCAGGCTCTTTCACTGCTCTCTGAGTGTTCGATACTTTTCCAGATGTCCGTCTTTTTTCTTCTTCAGCTTTTACTGTTTCCTCATAGCACTCATATTCACTCGCGAACAAATAATTAATTATATTTAGTCATATACTATAGAAACGATCACGAAACTTTTGCACGACACTCCCGATCGCAGAATAATTACGAGAAACGCACATTAATATATCGTATAAGGGATAAAGAAGTACGATTCGCTCTACAATAGTCGTAGCGAATTATATTTCAATACTAATCGCGATCGCGTTTAGGAAAAGAATTCAATAATACGAAGCATTTTGTATCATTACTCTGCCGTTGGAATGCCGTGTGAATAATACAAGGTCGTCTATATATTTATAATTTTTGCTTCTTTTGATTCAATTTTTATTTGGAATAATGAAGGATCGCGTTTCGATGGATGTATCATCGCCATATAGTTTCATGTATAGTTTCATTTATTAAGAGTTAATTAATTGTTAATTGTAATAGTCGTAGCGAATCATATTTCGATATTAATCGCGATCGAACTGTTAGAAAAAGCATTCAATAATACGAAGTGTTCCGTATCACTACTTTACTACTTGAATGTCGCCGTGCGAATGATACAAGGTCTTCGCCTATATAAACAATACAGCGCTACGTCATCAAGGCCGAACGTCGTGTTATTGACTTCGCTGCCGAAATATTTTATGCGTACTATGACGTACATATACGATAATTGAATTTATATACAAGTATATTTTTAAAGTCACACACACATGTACACACAGATTAATTATTTATTAAACGATTAATATACATCGCAAGGCTTTCCATTACGTTAATTATTCGATTTTGCCATTCGATCGTTTTACTGCGCGTTCTCAGATGAATTATATATATTTAAATCATCACATAATTATATGATAAAGCATCGGACGAAATATTCTTAATTATAAATATTAAAAGAAGAATAATTATTGTTCCTAAGGATTGCAACAAAATGATAATTTATAATTTTGATTCCAGTCACACACATCGATTCTTAATTGCATTCGAGTCTTTTTAATTAAATGAACGCATCACGCAAAATACGTGTTTCGAAATTATATTCTAATTATATTCCAATCGTATAATCGAGTATTTCGAATAATGGAAAGAGCAATGATCAAATCAACTATTTATTAATAATAAAATTGTAACTTACGAATATATTCCGTTTATTCCGTACGTTAACATCGCGGCGACAATGAATAAACTTTTAAAATAAATAATCAGTATATCGAAACAGTTTTACTGATTTAATTATTGATATAAAAACCGATTCAATTGACAGTTGGTGAAACGGTTTCAATATACTGGTTATTTTCTTAAGAGAATTGTTATATGACGAATTGTATATATTACGTTTACATGCGTTACGCGTTCGAACTCAATTCTGACCTCTCGCGGGAAGACTCGAATCATTCGTCGAGAATCAATCCTTCAAAACGCAATTGTTTTGTATAATTTTTGCAATTAATGATTATTAATTTGTACGATTTTAAATAAGTCGACAATAATCGGAATATTCGATTGCAGGTACGCGAGTGACATACCGATAATATCCGATAAAAAGAAGAGCGATCTTAAAAATGGAGAACGACTGACATCTCGTTTCTACATCAGATTTCGCAAGATCAATCTGCGAAGAAAAGTTAAGTGATCCATTAAACGTCGGGAGACGCTTTCACTGTAGGAGAGAACGAATCCTAGATCTTCCGGACTATTCTCGATAGCAATAATTTCAGTATTAAATCAAAGACACAATTATCCCTCGTCATTATTTTCAATTCACGAAATTGATATTCACGTCAGAAAACATGTTCTACCATTACTAAGAAATATATTTCTTTATTGAAAATTCAATGGATATAACCTTTGTTATTGAAATGTGATTACGAACGATTATATTTATAAATAATAAAATACATGCACATTATTGGAGTATGTGTTAAATGTGCGAACACATAATTTAGACAGGGGTACCGTCTGCGCGCGCGACACAAATCGAACCCGATACCAGCAAGATTTAAAAAATTTCAATTCGAATAGCGTTCAAAATAAAATAAATGAAATAATTTTAAATATATAAATAATTCTAGATTAATTATATAGATTCTTATTCTTGTAACGTTTAAATTAATAATGTTTTTTTTCTTTTAATCAATATCTTACTGATATAGGGGTAACCATTCGATTCGTCTCTAAATTTTTAAGTATTCGCACATTTTATGTAACATTCATGTATAATTACGCGTATATATAATATATCATATTAACAACAATTATAAAAATATTTTAGATACGTTAATTTGTTCATGTATTAATCTACTATTAAATTTTTCTGGCATTATAAATATAGGCAATAATAATACCGATTCTAATAATGATAGAACATTTTTAATGAAAAAAAAAAAGGATACATTTCTACCATCTAAATATATATTATTTAAATTAATTCGACGTTAAAGAAGCGTATCATCGTTGTATTACTACCGAAATTATTGCTTTTCGGAAATTTTCAGGAAAACCTGGGATTAATTTCAATCTTACAATAAAAATTTCCAATTTTCAACAGGAACACCGAACTAAACGTCGCGAATGGATCTCACAAAAACCAGTGAGAAATAATTCTCCATGACGAAAATCGTTTCGACTTCTCGGCGGTACGAGCCACGCAACTTTCATTAACAAAATTTATTTAACGAAAGGAACGATAACTCTTTTATTGAAACGACAATTTCGTCTAAGAACGTGAATGAAAAGAACGCGGGAAGAACATGGTGATTTCGCAATCGTAATTTATTAATTTATTTATGAATATTTTCCGATACGAAATTCGTAGTTACAATTATAATTGAAAAAAACAAATTATTAAATTCATAATAATTAACTCGCGATTCCATAATATCGAAGGTAATCGTTAAATTTTACGAAACTAATATTTAATCGTTGACTTATCACATCGAATCTTCACACTCTTATTCAATAATTCTGTATATTTAATTAGCAATATTTGGAAATATTATGTGACGAGAGGGCCAGCGATAAAATTCTTTTGTTAAAACGATAATTTTGTATAAGAACTTGTATTAAAAATTTTAAATTTGATTCGCGCGATGCATATACTTAATACACTGAGGAAAAAATTATCTTGAAATAAAAAAAATTTAGTTAACTCAAGAAAGCTATTTAAAAATCGTGTTATTCTATGATACCGGCAGGACGTTCGAATAATAGCGAAAACATGCGGGCATGTCCAGGTGTGTTACCCGATATCTCACCTGCCCACACGTGCGCATTCTACTTCTGCATGCCTTCCTGCTTGGGACCGCATCGCGCGATATACAAGGAACGTGCGCGCCGATGATGTAAATCGTTGCATTGTCCATTATAACTATCTCTGCGCAGGCGAATAACTTTTACTAACGACGGGATTAATAAAATTGATATGTCAAGATTAGTCTTGCTAATGCAACCAGATTTTTTTCTCAGTGCGAATAATTAAATAATATTTAATTCTTGCATCACTGTTTATCAGTAATTTCTAACAAACTGAATTTAAATTAATTTATTCAATAATCTGGATTGAATTTATCCAATAATCGTGTTGGAATTCAAAATATTAAATAGATTTTTGAGATTAGATGGAAAAAATGTTAGACGACTTGGTACTGGTGAGTTTAATATTATTAACCAGAAAATTTGATAAATTTAACAGGAAGAAATTAATCAGATTCATCTGATAATTCCTACAAGAATTCTGGTTCGTCCATTTTCCAACAGACATACTCGTTGAATCTATCAGAATTCTAATTAATGCAACTAAATTTTTTCTCAGTGATTATATTTGTAAATTAAATGATAGAAAAAATGAACTATATTATACAAAATAAGCAAATTTATTTAAAAATAAATAAAAATGTTTATATATTAACAATTTTAAAAACAATTAATACAATAAACAAAATAAACAATAAAAGATTTTAAAACTATAGCATATGTACAAAGTTCTTTGGGTGCGTGCGCTTGCATTTAGCCATCTGTTATTCTATATGTAATTAGCTTTTCATACCAATAACGAAGTTTTAATAATATATAATGTTTTTTAGAAGGTAAACAGAATGACACATAACTAATAATTATCTGAAATAATTATATATTATAAAGATTATATTAAATATTATTTTAATTGTTCAGTATTAAATAAAAATTGTTAATAAAATCGTGACAAGACAAAATACAAGACGAAATTTTTGCAAAGATTCACTCAAACCAAGATTTATAAATTTTTGAAAATTTTTAATACCAACACAATATTTTTATAAACATTATCTTATCTTAAATCTTGTACAACCCATATATTATTTTCTTTTCTTATTATGCACTAGTTGCCAAAATCGTTGCTCAATAAATACTGAATTACATCGATTATCGGATATTTCGAATTAGACAGACGAGAATTTACATACTTGCGACCAACGTTGGTGGTGCCACCGCACTCCCAAGTCGTATAAAAGCGACCTCGCGGAGTCATCTACTTCCGTCGTTTGTTCGCTTCTGTCTCAGGAATTTTTGCGCCGGCAGATGTGATATTGTTTCTCAAAATCTTTCCTTCCAGGACTAGACAATCACGCTATCATCGCGGACCGCGTGTCTGAAGAATGCTATGATAAATGAAACCTAACTCTACTCTCTAAAAGTGAATCAGTGAAAATATCACTAATTTAAACAGTAAAATAAGATTTTATCTTATATCTCACTGATTATGGTCAGTTAAAATAAAATTCATTGTAAATTCAGTAAATTTTACTGTAAAACCAGTAATCGCTAGTTCGTTCATTTACCGCTACAATCGCTATCTCTCTCGTATTTAATTTTAGTTATAAGAATTATATAAAATTTGCAAAAAGCGACATTTAAAATTAGAAGTATTACTTCTAATTTTATATTTAATTTCTGATACAAGCTCAATAGAGAGGCTTCAGATATTAAATCGATCTTTATAAGTCGGACAAATAAATGTCTGGCGACTTAATGAAAATTATTTGTTCGTTATCTATTTAAAATAACAAGTTCAATATGCATGTAATATAAATAAAATAAAATTTTTAATATAATAAATATTTAGTAAATGTAAATAAAATTTTTAATTTTATATGAAATAGATAGAGAGATGAATTCTAATTAAATATTACTGACAATAACAAAAGAAATATTACTGATATTGAAAAATATTACTGATTGAAACAGTCAAAATTATTAACTGATTCTTTCAATAAAATATCACTGATTTGCAGTGCTGTACTTATAACTGCTGTAATCAGTGACTATTTACTGTTTTTGAGTGATAATACACTGATTTACTTTTAGAGAGTAGGCGCTTCTATCTTCGAAGCGGTGCGCATCATCGTGAATCGAGGATTTATCAACGTCGACAAGTAATCGTTCACGCAATTACAAAAGATAAAGTGGGGCCTTTCAACATAGATTTCCGCGCTACGGTTCATATTATAGCGATAACCAACGACATCGGTATTGCTTCTTGTTTTTGCTTTTAAGAAAATGTCTTATTTATGTAATCGCAGATAATTATCATTATAGATAATTATAATTACATCATCGTAGTAAAAAAGAGCGAGCAATATCTCATGGATTAGATATGCAGACGATTACATCTAAAGCTTGTGATAAAGATGGACTGTTAAAGATGGACTTGCACTTTCATTTTGTGCTTAAATATTCTGCTCGAATTGAAAACTAATGATTCACTTCCAAGACACTTGCATAATGTTTCAGTGATTTGTAGTCTTGCAAATTTTTGATTTTGGAAAGGTTAAAAAATCTGATTGATAATGGAAAGGTTAAAAAATCTGATTGATAATGTAAACTAGTTGATTAACTTTTTTATTTAGGATAATTAATGATGAGAAAATATTGTCATCTTCAAATTTAAGATTAATCCCTGAAGCAAGACCAGACTTTTCTAAAAATATTCTAGACTTTTTTAAAAATATATCAGTAAAGTTAAATGTCATTTTTTGTTTTCTTTCTACATGTTGTACTTTATGAATACATATTTATCGAAGCTTCGAAAAAAAAAGAAAGCTAATGTGATTAAAATAATGTAAGAGACAAACGTAAAATTATGATGAATTATTTAATTTAGAAAACTGAATGCAGAATTATAAAGCTTAATGTTTTTCTTATATAAATAGTTTTAAATATTATGAAGATTAATGTTTTTCTGCTTTTCAATTCATTCTAGATAGTTCTATAATTGAATCATTATGCACCTGACGACGAGTTGAAGTATAATTTGTATTCCGTACGTTGATTGTGTACACACGTATAACGTTTGCTGCACGTGAAAACACGTGTCCATTATAATAACACAGTGAACCGATCCAGAATCTGGTCCTTGTTCCAGACATGGATTTGATACCGCCAATTCATGCAATGAATTCACGCTAATGACTTACGGTCCCTCAAAAGTAGAACAGCGCGCCAACTTTTCGTACTCTGTCTGACCAATCGATGTCGGTTTCACTTGTATCACTCATGCGACAAAAAAACGAAAATTTCCTCGAAATAATTCTGTAAGAGTAGTTATTATGCCTCATACTTTTCATTTTGAAAGCCTGCTATTACCCAAAGATTACTATGATTTTAACATTAGTTAAGACTTAACTGACATTTTAGAGAGACAACTTTGTAAATTACGAGTCCCAGCTACACAGACCGAATTCTAATTTATCGATGTCATACTGGCTGTTATCGATATTTACGTTTCTGCGAAAAATCACCATTTTCCTTCGTTTTCCACGAATTCACAAAGCTGCGATTTCGCGATTTCGCGATGTAAGTGTAAATCTACGCGACAGATCTGTCTCCCACGAGATTTAAAAAAGGAATACATTTTATAGATGTGTTTTGCAAAAATATCAATATATACCAAAATATATGTCATTTAAAATATGCGCTTAATTTAAAACACAGAAAAAAACAAATATAATACAAATAATATTTTATGTGTGAAGGAATTAAATTTAAAGTTGTACGATAATGTGGAGATCTTTCGAAATACACTACATCTTTCAAATGTATAATTAAAACATTTATCACATAAAATTGAAAGTGGACAAAGAAAAAACATAAAAATATTATTTCGTATAACAAAAAAAAATTTAATTTAATTAACTTTGTTGACAAATTTAAACTGCTGCAGATATAAAAATATAATCATAGTATTGTAAATCGATTCAAGTATACGATGAATATATTTCGTCGATTAAAAATTATTTCGAAGAAAAAGATTCTACTTACCAAAAAAAGTAGAAAACAATTCATTAATCCAAAGAAAGAAAACTTGTTACAGCAAATGAAGATGAAAATTAAAACAGCAATCATGATCCACTATGGCGTCCTCTAATCATCGAAATAGATATCTATCAATCTTGACACCTTAATATATGATGCGTGTATTATTTCGAGAAAAAGATATTCATTTTTATCCAGCGCAAAACTCGTGGGAAATATCCATTGCGTTGATTGAAACATTTTTTTAATTCTATGAATAAGACTAAAAAAATAATTGTTTGATTAGCTTTGCACACATATATTTTATGGATAAACGTTTTTATTGTGATTGCACATGATAGAGGATCCTTACATAAGTTAAATTTGGGTACTTAGAGTTCTGATTTATAAGATTTTTATGTATATATTTTAATAATTAAACTTAATGCTAAACTTTACACAATATTTTCCTCATAATGTTGAACGTATAATATGCATAACAATTTTCTTCGATTGTTCCCACTGCATTATCTTGTTACACTTTTGCAATATCCACGTTATTTTTAAACGGCTGTTTGCATTTGATCGGGATGAATCTTATATGAACCGGATGAGCAGGACGTATTACTAAATCCAACAATAATCGAATATTTTTTAAATACTCAACAGGTTCCAAGTAAAAATTATGTATCAAAAGAGCTATCATAGCTTTCATCATCAGTAAACCGAGACGTTGACCTACAATTTGAAATTTATGATAAATTATCGATACGAAGAGAAACGAAAATCGCGATTAATTCACCTATGCAATTTCTTGGTCCTGCGCTGAATGGTATATAAGAATAAGGATGACGATTCTTTATCCTTTCGGGCAAGAATCTGTCCGGATCAAATATATCTGGATTTGGCCAAAAATTGGGATCTCTGTGAACTCCGTAGATATTAAGAAGTACGGTCGTTCCAGCGGGTACGATATATGATTCTGAAAATTATTACAAAATTGAAAAATACTAAAATTCACGAAAATAAGCGTTTCTTTGAGAAAAATAAAATATAACAATATTGTAGTGTTAAAATACTAATTAATCTTACTTTACATTCAATAATATATATTCCATATTATGTAACATATTCAAAAATATATGCAGCAAAAAGTGACTATAATTACGTAATTTTACAGCATCCCCAGTCTTGCGTAATATCAAAGATGCGCTGGGATATAAACGTAACGCTTCCTTTAAACATCTGTCTAAATATGATAAATTTTGTAATGACTTCATATTAAGTTTTCCTCCATTCTCTTGCATCACAGTATCGACTTCAGTCCTCACACGCTCCTGTGTCATCAATAATATAATGAAATGTATTTCTCAATTCTAATTTTTAGTGATACAGATAAAAATAAATTCTTAATGAATCAAATTCTAATAAATCTAGGAAAATTATATCGTAACAAGAACTTGATATCTTTATTACGTTGATAAAATCTTAACTTAAATTATATATCGCAATATATTGTGAGAAATAGGTACCTGGATATCTTTATGCTCAGCTAAGAGTAGTAAAGCAAACATTATGCCCGACGCTGTAGTATCATGACCCTATAATCATCATCGTATGCATATCGTTATATTGTTATACATACTTAGATATCATGTACAAAAAAATAAAAAAAGTTTACAGATACATACTGCAAATATGAAAGTGTCAACTTCTTCTCTGATATCCAAATCAGTTAGAGAATGTTCTCGAGATGCCGCTATTAAAAGGTCCAACATGGCTAGCCTACTTTTTTTAACTAAAAAAAGCATATTAATTACAATTTCACCTTTACATGCCACACTTTAGTTATACAATAACAGTTCTTGTTTAAAATTCAAACTTTATTACAAATAATAATGATTTAATTTTACAGCAAACGTATGTTGTATTATTACATGTGATTATGTGTTTAATATAAATAATGCAAGCATAATGTATAATATTAAATTAATTGCGCAGCCAAACTAAATTAGAAGCTCTGATCTCTTACGTATTTCCAAACACTTCGAAATTTTCTGTCTCTTTGTTACTTTCAAGGTTTTTTAAGTATCGGTCATTGGTGCGTTCGTGATAAAGTTTTCTTTCCGCGATGATCTATACAAGTACAATATTTAATTTTTGACAAGATTTTTTATATTAAACAACAATTGTATTATATCATAGATATTTATAACATAATATGTATATATAATATGTATACATAATAATAATATGTATTGCGACGCTTTTTCAATTCTAAATTTTGATTCTCGCGGGGGAGCGGAAGCGCCGTCAAAATACAAGGGTTTTATGTACTCGCGATCGGCGGGACAGGGATGGAGGTTGTCCGCACGCGAGCCGCGGCGGAGCGAAGGCCGTCTCGTTACCTCAGAACTGGGCGCCAGGTACGGTCTCTCACGTACCAGTTTCACGAATTCTTCGAAAAACGCGAAAGAGTACGACAGCCCGCTTCGCCACGGGCTGGCTAGCTCGCCTAACGGTAGAGGGGCGGGGTTTGCAAGAAAAAGTGAATTGATTGAGCGAGCTTACTAAATTAACAGACAAAGACGAACACAGAAATTACGGACGATCGCCAGTCAAATAAAGAACGCGAGATTTAATAAATAAGAAAATAACAGGTTTATTAAGAACGTAGATAATCAGAAAAGTGATTAACAAAAAGAAGTAAAAATCGCTACAGAATGAAAACAGAAATAACGTACTAGACATGAACGGACAATGATTCTCGAAACGCTCGAAAATCGCGCGATATTCTCGGTCTAACAAAGAACGTCTGTTACGGCGGCTTCCTAAAATCGAAGCTCCTGAGAACAATACTTGATATAACTGAATTTGGTAATTCGAATTCTCAATAACTGGCTTACCATACGAGAAAGAGAGATAATACCAGCCTATAATTCGCAGCTTCGACAGCCTCGCGGAGATCCTACTAATTAGCTGCGTATTTCGCAATTTCCTCCGAGCGTGCTCGGAGTCGACAACCCAGAAATAAGGTAGCCGGTCAGCTACGCAATAAGCGACAAGATATGAATTCCGCGAGGAGAGATCCCGCATACGATGGGCGGACGATACCGGCGAAGTTCGATAGCCGGCGGCGGTCGGAGATTTTTCCGCCTTTTTCGGCGACGCTCGCAACTCAAATATTTCTGGCAATCGGGGCGATGCGGCAATGTCGTGTCACACCCCCGATACCTTCGACAGCGTGAGAATTAATTGTTTTCTCTTATCAAGGAAATAAGGAAGGCCGGGCGACAGTCCCGCACCGCGCCTCCTTCGATAGCCGTGCTATTCGCCAGGAATTTCCTGACCTCCGGCCTCAATACTTAGAATCGGGCGATACCCGCACACCGCGACAATTTCGAGGAATTACGTTCCTTCTTGCGAGACGAATAACTCACACGCACACAATAGACGCGACAATAATACTCAGGTTCGCGCCAGATTCACGAACGATTAAAATACACGAAGACTCATTAATCACGAATAATTACTTCCACAGACTCGCTCTGAGACATATTTCAGAGGTGCGAGACGCGGCTTCGACAACCAGACGACAGCCCGTACGAACTACGCATTTCTCGCGATTTACGACGCACGCGGTCGATACCCGCTGGTCGGATGCTACGCGTATTACGCACTCTGATACCCGGAGAGAGACGAGAATTACCCTACGATACGCACTTCCGTCGCCAGTGTCCGCGCTTCCTCGGTCGCTTGTCTCCAGTCGCCCGAAATACACAAAATCGACCGACTCGGCAGAAGGCTCGAGCGGTCGCGATAAGCCGTAATGGCGACGGCGACAGAACGGCCGGCGAGCGGACACGATCACGCTCGCGGAGTACCAAAATTACGTGGGCAACCTCACCGACGGAGCTCCTCCTGCTGTGGGGATGATCCTCGGCCTCGTCCTCCAAGTTTCGTCTCGTTCTCGAGCTCACACGACAATACAATACACAATATGCGTCTTCGCCTATACGAGTCGAGCGGCTGCGACCAAGTGAGCCCTGGATCTCGCGATCCAGGGTCGATAGCGGGGTCGTTGGCCGCGCAGGGGGATGCGCGGACCCCCGGCCAATTAGCGGCCGACACGCGCGAGGTCCTGGCGCCTCGCGCGCCACGCGAGGCATTTTCGCGCCCCGCGCGAAATAGCGCCAAACTTGAACGTCGCTGCGGGCCCTTATATGGCCCGGGTGAGGTCCTTCCCGCACGCATCCTCTCCAGGAGGATGGCTGTCGCAGCGGCTGTCGTTCCCGGCTGTCGAGGGGAGGCTATGCGGCTCTCCCCGGTCCGGAACTATGATGCCGGGCTTTCCGGGACAGGATCCTCCGCTCTTATGAGTTTCCCTTGGCTGTCGTTCTTAGCGGTCGCGGGGAGGCGATGATGTTCTCCCCTGTTCTTCGGTGCTCGATGGTGAGGCGCCTCAAGCCGACTCGATACAAAATAAAGGATGGAAGAAAACAAAAAGAATTAATACTACACGCAATTATACTCATTCGCTCGTCTCTCCGGGGAATTCGGTAGCTCTCTCTCTCTCTCTCAACCTTTGGCGCGGCCACTCGGCTCGCGCCCCGTCAAGATTGCCGGGGCGGATAGACGCGACGGGACGGCCACGTCACATCCCCCCATGCCAAGAGAGAGCCCATCGGCTTCGGCTACCCACGGCGGCCGCTAAGGCGGACCGCACCGTCCGCTCGCCTTCGTTCGGGCGGCCGAAGTCCCCGGAGTCGAGGAGGTGCGACAAATAACAAACAAAACAATCAAACAACACGAAAAATTAATGTTAGCTGAGGAATTGGTTCCACTAATAGAGAGCCGTTTAATCCGGCCTCTCTCGAGCTTACGTCGCGATCTTGTCTCTCGGTAGGGTTCTGGGCCCGTTATATCGCGTTTTACGTCGCGCGATGGTTACGGGGCGACTGCCCCGTCGTCTACGCTAACCTACTTAGGGGGAGTTAGGCGAAAAGGAAGAAAGAAGGAAAAAATACGAAGATAACGCCGAATACAAAGTGAGAAAATAAGTTTATTAAGGGCCTACTATTACATACCCCTCGCCTGGTAAACAGGGGGGGGGTCGATAGCCTTCGCAACGCGACGACAGCCTTCAATAGGGTCTTGGGCGGTCCCTTTGCCGGGTCCTTTGACCGCTCGGCGGACGGGGCCTGTCATGGCCCTTTCCCTCTTTATACGGGCCTTGCGCCCGCCATTCCTCGCGACAATTGGGGCACGCTTTTATCGTGACTCCCTGAGTCCCACAGCGGAAGCAGAAAAGTCTCTTCTCTGTCGATGGGCACACACCGGCTACGTGCCTTCTGGAGCCGCAGTTCCAGCAGCCTCGACGCCGCCGCGGAACCGATGAGGAGGAAGAAGAGGGCCCGGCAACCGGACCCACGCACTCCCGGGCGGGGGAAGAAGCCTCCCGCCCATCTGGGGACGTGGAGTCCGGCTCGGGGTGCCTCGGCGATACCTGGATCGCCACCTCACTGCGGCTCCCGATAGCCCCCTGGGAACCAGCGTCCCGGGTGGTTACGACAGCCTGCACTCCAGCCTCCACTTGGGCGGGGAACTCGCGCACTACGGCGCCTCTGGTGGTTGTGCGGCCCTCCATTATTCGTCGGGCCTCCTCGTCCAGCGCCGTCCAGAAACCTGGACGCGCCTCGTCGACAGCCTCGAATACGTCCCTGTATTGCTCCAGGAACCTGCGAGACATCGTCGCTTCTTTCCTTTTTTCTAGTTAATTGCCTACGGGAAGGGTAGGAGGTGGTACATTATACAATTTCAAATCTTTGATATGCACCTTACCTAATGATCTACCCGCGTCATCACGTAACTCATAAACCACGGGCGATAATATTTTCGCGATAGTAAAAGGACCGTGGAATTTGGTCGCTAACTTAGCCGATATGTTCTGAGCGGCCGACGATAAGATATGTTGCCGCTTCAGAACTCGCTCGCCAATCGCAAACCGTTGATCTCTCCTACGCAGATTGTAATATCGCGACTGTTTTTCATGCGCAGCTTCCAAGTTTTCGATTATCCATTCGCGTAACACTTTTATCCTCTCCATGCGTTCTTTCCACCTCGCGGGATTCGTCTCCGCGACCTCGACAGCCGGCTCGTGTCTTCCACGCACGGTATTTATCGGCTGCGGTTCCCTACCAAAATTTAAAAACGCAGGAGTGGCGTGTAGCGAAGTATGGTACGCTGTATTGTACGCGAATCGGAACTCAGCCAAGTGCAGGTCCCACTCGCGGTGATCGCTTTCCAGAAAGGCCGTTATCATGGTCTTAATTACCCTATTCACGCGCTCCACAGGGTTCGCCTGAGGATGGTATGGAGGCACAGTCGTGTGAGTTATGCCGTGCTCCTCCGCAAAAGCCTGCAGTTCGCGGTTAATGAACTCAGTGCCGTTATCCGTCAGAAGCACTCGCGGCGCGCCCCATCGATTTACGATTACTTCTGTCAAAAGCTCGCGGATCTTTTTGCCGGTCGCTTTTCGCAGGGGGCAACATTCAATCCACTTAGTAAACAGGTCTTGCATGACCAAGATGTACGCGTTCCCGTTCTTACTCGGCGGAAACGGCCCCATAATATCCGTGGCGACCACCGTCCACGGAGTCTCGACAGCCCTACGCCCCATCAAACCCATCGGCAAATTCTGTTCCACCTTAGTCCGTTGGCAAACATCGCAATGTCGAACATAACCGGCAACTTCCTTAAACATTCGCGGCCAGAAATAACGCGTCGCTACCCGTTGATAAGTTTTCTCCACTCCGTGATGACCGGCTTGTGGAGTGTCGTGAGCCTCTCTGATAACGTTCGCGCGCGCTTCTCTCGGCAGGACTAATTTCCATTGCTCGAGATCGTCGACAACCTGGGAAACGACGGCGCTCGGTTTTCGGAAATACAGCTGGTCGTTATTAATTTTCCAGCCCTGATTTTTACGCGGCTCGTTTTCCACGTTTCGAACGCGCGCGTCGTACCAAGCGTCTCCGGTAATCGCTACAGCGCATAATTCCGCGGTATCCTCGTACATGCGCGACAACGCGTCGGGAACATGGTGCAACGCTCCCTTCCGGTGTTCGATCTTATAATCGTACTCTAAGAGCTCCAAGGCCCATCGCGCTAAA